AGTGTGGTTGGTATGATGTAGACATAGCGGCGTGGCGTGCTAGTGTTCACTGCCGGGGATTCCAACTTGGCTGGGTACCCAGCAAAATTCTATTGATTTATCGCGTATGGACAGGTAGAACAATCAGTTCTGGATCTTACAAACAAGGGGGTTGGTGGTGTGTATTGAGTTCATGAGAGTTAATGAGTTATGGGAGTCAGTAAAAATGGTAAAAAAGGAAGAGGAGAGAGTATATGTGTTTTAGAGCAAAAAGGAGTGCATACAGTTCTGTTGTAAGGACACTGGATTCAGGAGGAAGTGAGTATTTGAAAGTACGAGTTGGGAATATTACTGCAAAACCAGTACCGGAGGTGGATTTGGAGCCATCAGTATATACGTGAATACTAGAGGAATGAGTGGAGACGTGGTCAAGGAAATGGGTGAGAAGGACAGCAGGAGGAATATTTGATTTTGGTGGGTCGGGGGAAACAGAGGAGCAAATATGGGGATGAGGTATAAGCCATGGAGGGACGGAATGGACAGAGAACGGGAGAGGTTGGAGATGGGGGAAAGGGGAGTGGGAGAGGAGGGTATCCATGCGAGTGGAGAAAGGTGTAGGTAAACGTGGAGATGAAGCTAAGGTAGGAAGTAGGGATTGTGGGATAGTTAGTTTAGTGAGGGAAAGTTGGTGGAATCGAACATAACATCGGAGAGAGGGAAGGGCATGCCGTCGAGATAGAGATGGTATGCCTGATTCAGGCTCTCAACTGGAGAGGAGCGGAAGGCACCTAGTGCTAAGCGAAGACCACAGTGATGGATTGTGTCAAGATGGGCAAGGAGAGAAGTTGAGGCAGAGGAGTAGATATGGCATCCATAATCAAGAGTGAAGAGGATCAAAGTAACATGAAGATGAAGGGGAGTTTTGCGATCTGAGCCCCATGATATATGGGATAGAGTTATAGGGGTGAAGGTAATGGGGGTGCGTTCTCTGATGGTCTTAATAGAAGAGAAGTGTGGAGAAAGGTGAGAACCACTACTGACCTGGCTGAAATATTCACCCAGTTCATTAGCGACTTGGAGAGGTTCAGAAATGAGGGTATCTCGAATATGGAGGACGGGGGTAGGATGGGGGGGGATGTTTGCCTGATAGTTTATGGATTCGGCGCCACACATTTGAGATAGATGTAGAGGATGTAATTGATGAAACCTAATTTCGCCAGCTATTTGTTTTACTATTCCGGATTAAACGACGAAGACAGGCAGATGCTCTTTTAAAGGAGATAAGGGCTGATAGTTGATTTGAAGTACCTCTCTTGTAGCGGTAACTGTTCCAGGCTGCACGTTTTAAGCGAAGTGCTTTAGTGCAATCAGAATTCCACCATGGAACGCATTTAGAGGTATATGGTCTTGAGGTTCGAGGGATAGCTGTATGTGCAGCTCTTAAGACTGTAGTTGTGAAATACTGTATCATTTCTGAAATGGAGGAGAGGAAGGATGGTGGGGTATGAATAGCAGAGAGTGAAGTAAAAGTACGCCAGTCGGCTCTATTAAAGCACCAGCGTGGGGAGTTAGGAAGTGGTACGTATGAAGTAGGAGAAAGGAGAACTGGAAAGTGGTCACTATAGGGAAAGTGATCTAAGACTGACCAGTGGAAATCTAAATGAAGAGAAGGGGAGCATAGAGAGAGGTCAATGCATGAAAAAGATTGCGTGCGTGTATCAAAGTGTGTGGGGCGATCTGAATTTAGAATAATAAGGTCAGCTGTGGAGAGGAAGCGCTCTAGGGATCGGCCTCGGGAGTTGGTGATAGAATCACCCCAATATGTGTGGCGGCAGTTAAAGTCGCCCACTATGAGGAAAGGTGGTTGAAGTTGGGAAATTAGATTTTTGAAAGCAACAAAGTCAATGGGGTGGGAAGGGGAGAAGTAGACTGAAATCACTGTGATCCAACGATGAAGAAAGGTACGAATAACTGTGCAAGGGATATTGGTTTGAAAGGGAGGTGTGACATAAGGTGTTTTCTGATTGATAAGTATTGACGAGACATAAAGGGAGCGTAGGGAAAAGACAAAATGATAATTGGGAATTGGAATTGGTGGATGTGTAAGAAAGGTCTCTTGGAGGCATACAATAGATGGGTTATAAGAGGAAAGGATATGACGAAGCTCAGGTCTGTGGGAGCGGAAACCGCGAATATTCCAATGAAGGATAGTTATACTTTAGTGATATAGATTGTAGTACGTGTTGGAGAACTTGAGGGGGAAGTAGCTAGAGGGTGGGATAAGGACTGAGAGGTCTGAGATAAGAGAGGAGTGGGAGTTGGTGTTCTACCAGGAGGGGTATTAGGAGATGGAGGGTCTGAGGAAGGGGATACTTGTGACATAAGGGATTCACGTGTGTATCCAGGAGGGAGTGGAGGGGATAGAGGGGATGGTGGAAGGGTTAATGTGGGTGGGGTTGGAGTCGGGGGGGATGGGCTGTGTTGGGAGGGGGTAGGAGGATGGGGTGTAGGGGGGATATCATTAGGAGGAGGATGGATATCAGCAGTTACTTGGAGTGTGGAAGGAGCAGGAGTTGTAGATTGAGTGTCAGTTTGCATTAAGTAATCTTGAATATTTTCAATAGTTTCTTCTGAGGTGTTGGTTGGGGAGTTCTGGGGGATAAAGGATTTCTTGTGAGGGGGGGAAGAGAGGACTGGTGTCTCAAGAGTAGGGGCAAAGGATGGTGGAGGTGTGGTAGGGGAAGAGGGGGTGGAACGTTTGTTCTGTCTGTTACGGGTAGTGCGAGGAGGGAGAGGGGAGGGTGTTGGGGTTGTAGTGGTGATTGGAGTATCTGTAGTAGAGATTGGAGTGTCTGGATTTAGGATGGCAAAAGAATTTGACTGGGGAAGGTAGGAGGTAGAAGTGGGGGAGTTAGATGTAGGAGGGGTGGGTTTAGGAGAAGTGGTATAATGAGCAGTATTACTGGAGTAAGGAGTAAGAGAGAATCCACGTCGACGTGCTTCCTGTCTGGCGTCACGTAGTGTGAGTCCAAGTTTGAATCTGAGAGTTGCTACCTCAGACTCAAATTTGTAGGTGGGACAGCCCCTATAAAATACATTATGGGGGCCGCCACAGTTGACACATGTACGTGATTGTGCAGAGCAGTTAGATCGGGTATGGCCAGGTTGGGAACATAGTGGGCATCTGGCTGTGGAACGGCAATGTTTGGCTGGGTGTCCTAGACGCCAACAATTTTGGCACTGACGTGGAGGAGGTTGGTATGGACGAACAGGGAGGGATTCTCCTCCTATGTAGACGTTAAAGGTAATTTTGGCTATGTTAGTGGGTTTCTTTCGATGACCTCTGGGGGGAATGGAGTAGCATTGTACTGGATGTTGCATCATAGGTCTGTGAGACAGGCAAGTAGGTCTTCTCCACAATCTGATCAATCTTTGTCATAGATTGGGTAATTTGCTGGGAAGATTGAAACTGTTCCGGTGCAAGTATTGAGGGTTGGATGGGGTTCTGCAAGGATGGGGTTACCATATAGGTCAGTTAGTTTTGTTAATGCTATAGCTTGGTTTTCGGATGTTACTGTGACAAGACGGGAGCGGTCGGGTCGGCTACAGAAAGAGACTTTACCTACTTGTTTTTGGAGACATTGTTGGAAGAGAAGGGTGTTATCAGAGTAGGGAGCTGTGGGAGGGATCACGAAAAATCGGTCCCATTTGGCTGCGCCAAAGAGAGTATTCAAGATTGTTTTAGAGATAGAGGTAGTAGAAGGGCGGGGGCGTGACGAAGATGGAGTAGTGTTGAGGGAGGTAGTGTTATGGAGAGGTGGGCTATAAGGCTGTAAGGTATTAATAAGGGAGGATGGGGTGGTTGATGTTGGAGGTTGTGGGGGTAGAGGTGTTGAAGTTGAGCATGCTGGGAGAGTGGAAATGTTCCTTGAGGGTTGATTGTTGGACTACTGTACTAGTAGGCGTTGATGAGGGGGTAGTTACTGCAGTGTTCGGAGCCGTGGTCAAAGGAGAGCCTGGGGTCAGGGAATCGGATGGGTTTACTTCGTTGGGGCTATTTGATAAAGGGGCAAGCCTCATTGCCCCTAATAGTGGGGATAAGTTTTCATTACTGGCCATGGTAAGCCTGGATTATGTTGGGGATAAAAACAGTTCACCCCTCAGGGTCCCCTTGAGGGGTAAGGGCTAGGTCTAAATCAGGGGAATACCGTGCCCATGGCTCCCTCAGGCCGTTCAGGACTGGCACAAAGTCAGCCTTTCATCCTTTCAGCATGGCTCTCACACCTTAGGAGGTGGATAGCAGAAGGGTTTGGTGAAGGGACAGAAACGAAAAGTGGGAAGGGAAAAAAAAAAAGACCATGCAAAATTAGTTGAGTCGAGGGCTGAGTCCCAAGGTTGGGGAGTTCCCCATCATTGGGTCCCAGTCTCCGCCTCCTAAGCCCCCCCACGACAACAACGGGCAAGGGATTGGGGGTGGGGGGGCCTCAGAATATTATTTACTTGTGATATATTTTAGCGATATTTACATAGCTTGAAGTAAACTTATTGCAAATTCTTTAAATAAACTAGCTTAGCTATCTTTTGTTTGTCAATAAAAATATTCTTTAAATACCACTATTTTATTATATTTCAACACAACCGTAGTGAAAAAAACAGATTTTTTATAACCATGCCCCTCAAGCTTGGGGCCCTAGGCCGCAGCCTATAGGATAATCCAGCCCTGCATATATACTTGACCTCACTTTCTCTCACTCCGGGCCGATTGAAATGGCTGAGAAACAGCTAGCCGTTCCCACTAATTGTTTACAACAAACGGAGTGAGAGAAAGTGAGGTCAGGTCACCCAGCTGTTCAGGCGGGTCCTTGACTAATGACTGCCACTTAGAGGTCATGTCAAGACGGGAAAAGAAAGGAAAAGGCCCAAAACACACACACACACACACTGCAGTTTTCTAGAAACCTATGTTTGAAATTTTTTTTTTTTTTTGAAAGGTGAGGACTTCTAGCAATAAAAAAACACAATTATCAACATCTCATAATCTTTATTAAATGCTTTCTTTTAAAATGGCTCAACAACTTTAAATTGTACTCAAACCTTCTTATAGTTCTGTTGTAACAGAAAACACCCTGTCATATTTTACCCAAGACACATAAAAGTGAGGAGTTTTGGTCTCCACAAAGACCAAGCAGATGTGGACGGTCTTAGAAACATTCAAGTGTTATATAGTCATGGAAGTTATTTCAAAGAGAGCATTTTAACTTTCAAAGTTAATTCACAAGAAAAATAACAGAGTTCTCTTTCTGGAATTCTTCATTAATTTATTGCAAGTTATTGTACAAATGGAAGCGTAAAGAGGCAGTTCCAGGGGAGGGAAGTACTGCTGGTACTTCAATACCTGAAAAATATCCTCCATTTCCCAATCTATACCAAGAACTGAAAGGAGAGCAGCTTTACCACAACTAGTGGCATCTCTGGAGTTACTAATCCCCAAAAAATAATGCTATCTGTAATTACTGCCAGAGGCACTACTGCTGACCCATTCTCCTATTGCTTGTGGTAAACATTAGTACTGCGTAAAAAAACTAAGAGTGGAGAAAGTATCCAAGTATTAAAGTACTAGCAGTACTTCCTTTATTTGACCAGTTCTTTATGTGCATATAACAGGATGCATGATGGAGTGTTTTGGAATAATCTATTATTTAAATATAGTATATTTAAGTGCAAGAGTGGTTTTGGTGTGACTTTAAAAATTTATAAAAAAGATTATTTACCTGTTATTTTAAATGGAATAAAGCATTGAGCTATAAATTATCCTCAATCTCATCCTGACTGATCAATAGCATCAATGGAATGTTTGACAAAAATAATAAAACATTTTAAAAAATGGCAGGCAGAAAATTAGCTAAATGTATTTAATTACAAATAAAATATATTTCAAGCCAGGTAGACTGAACTGTATTATGATAAAACATTAAAAAGCACCAGACTGGTATTGTTTCAAGCCTGTAAATATTCATATCTGTATATACACTTTACTATTCAATATTTTAAAATAAATATATGAACACTTATAAGGCTAAAGCAATTATTCTAGTTTTGAAGGGAACAAGTAATTTCCTACTTGTAATATATAAAAAAATTAAATCTTCAAACCCTAAAAACATAATATAAATTAAAAAACATTGCACTACATTTTAATCTTAACTCATTAAGTACCTTATAACACGTATTTCATATATATATATTATCATTTGAAATAGGTTAAAACAGCTTAACATGTTAATCACCACTTTGAACACACATGTTTGCTCAATATCAACTCTCTCCTTTTGTTTGCATAAAATATATATATACCTGTATATAAATCCATTCATTGAAAGAATCATATAATTATTTGTATCAAAAAAACAGTTAAGTTCAACAGTATATAAACATATAATGATAATGACAATAATGAGTTTGGTTTATTTAGTTTCTTTAGAAGTAAATAGTTTAACCAGTGCTTAGTCACCCTTTTATTAATAATATCAATATCATCATCAATACTACTACAATCAATATTGATAATATTAATAACAACATTAATTTTACTAATAAAATTAATACCAATATTGCTGCTTATGCTGCTGATGATGATCATGATCATCATGACCATAATCATCATGACCATAATCATGATCATAATTATCATCCTCATCACCATTACCATGACAATGTCACCGTTACAATAATAACAACAGTGACAATGATGATGATAATGATGACGATCATCATCTAAATATATATTATAATAATAATTTTACTACTACTACTAATAATAAATAGATAATGATGACGAAGAACAACAAGAAGAAAGAAAAAGCTTTATAACCTCTTAATAAAATCTCACTCATATCTGTAAAGGTGACAAATTTTGTCTAAAATGTCTTAAGTCCATCAGCTGCTACTCTTCCAGAAGGGGTTCCTGGTCTTCTCCAACTTCCCCCTTCTTGGTAGGGGTGCGAGGCCTCACAGTCTCAGCCCCCACCTCTTCATCAAGCATCTTCAGTTTCTGGTACTTCTTACCAGATTTCACTACCTTCTGAGGATGAATTAAAAATATGATAAGATAAACAGTAATTAGTGTAAAAAATTCATGTATATAGAATAGGTTGGATGATGTGCTAACAAAAGTGACTGGGCATTCATTCTCCAAGAAGCTATTGGATACCAGACATCGAACAAAGCTATAACAAAATTGCAGACAAGTTACACATTCATGTCTGAAGGTAGAATGCACTTTCAATGAGAAACATCGAATATATAAAAAAATTACCTCATTATTACGGAATGCAATTACATCTGCTATGTTTTCAGGCATTGGTTGCCCCAGTGTTTCAGGCAGCTTCAGGTTCATCATTCCCGCCAAGAATGTCATTATACCAAAGACAGTAAATTGCATATTTGGAATGTAGTCACCCAGCATAAGGATGAAGGGAGCAACTATGCCACCCACCCTTGCAGCAACAGAAACAATGCCAACAGCCGAGTTACGAATAATGGTGGGAAATATTTCAGCACTGATGGAAAAATCAGAAAAAAAGAATTACATTATATATTGCCCTCCTTTCAAGGATTGCTTTATACGACAAAATTACAAATATCCATCCTTAACTATATACTACAAATAATTAAATCATTGAATCTTCTGTACATGCATATAGCTCTTTACTTACCTATGAACATAAGCAACAGAAAAACTTGCAGAAATGCTTAATTTGCCACAAAGTGCGAGACCAGTTATGACAGTAACATACTTCACTGGTATAAACTGAATGCAAATACAGGCTGTCCCTCCCAACAGCATAGCTGTACATAATGTTATACGTCGACCAACTCTGAAATCAGAAACAAAACATAATATAACAAAATATATCAATGTTGTTATAGCTATGTTTTTTTACATTATGATCATTAAATAAGAGAAAAAGTACACTTACCTATCAATAACTGCAGCAGCTGTGATACATGCAGGAATCTCTATCAACCCACTAAGAGCTGTAGAAACATACACATCTCCTCCAAGGTTGCTGGCAGCCATGGTTAACCCATAGTAGGTGCAACTATTTACAAACCTGAAAGGCATGGCATCAGATTATGTAAATTTGCTAATTATATCTTTTGATGGCACTTAAACAGTGCTTACAAAATGAAACATTAAGATATCAAGAATAATTTTACTAGACTATAAAATCATTTATTCTCTTTACAGATACATCTAATGGCTTTTCTTTGACTACTTGATCGTAGTCCCTCTGTGTTCTAAATATCTTATGATATTCTGGTACTGCTATCAGTGCTTTATTGGTAATCTTATTCCCTTTATATAGCGATACTGATCGGCAACAGTAAAGAAAAATGTATCAAGACTGTTTCAATAATTACATAAATCATAACTTTTCTATCTCTGACCCTAGTCAACTAACCCAAATTCAACCAAGAACCTCACCAGGAAAATATCTGAATCAAGGTAAGAAGTAGAACATAGGGATGGCTGACCAAATCCCTGACCCCATTGGATTTCTTGTCTTTGTTCTTGCCACCACTTGACTTCACCTCCCAGTGACTAGGTAGTTCTTTGCTCTTTTGGTTTTTCTTGGCCATATCCTCTAGAATAACTTTTGCTTCATCATTTCTGCCCTGTGTAACTAACCACCGTGGGCTCTCAGGAACATAACTGAAAAGAGTGAGAACTGATAAACATGAAAACCCTTTGCTAATTCTAATATTAAGCTCCTAATAGTGAAACACAAACTATGGCAAATAATTCTATCAAATCTGCTTAAATAAACAATACATATATACACTATAACAATAATATCATCCAACTGTATTCTAAAAATATATCTTCACAATGCAGCTCTTACACAAGTTTAATCCATAAATATCAACCTTAACCACATGCCGCCGGGGAAAATGAATTAAAAAAATGGGGAAAATGCTGTGCTCATTTTTTATATTTTTGGGAAATGTCTCTGCACATAGATGGCTCTGCTAGTGCTTGGCCACAAAGGACCTTGTGACCTTACCTAATTTCACCTTTCCTTGAATTGGTAGGAAAAATGTACTTTACTAGTTCTATGAATATCAGTGATAAAATAAGATAATGTAAAATATTTTTGTAAATCAAGGAAATGGGTAAATGGGTGAGACAGGCAGTACTCATAACTGGCTCACTGGTGACTTAGTACAAGTGTAGCCATCTATGTGTAAAAACAATTAATAATGTAAACTCACAGTGGGCATGGCATGTACATACATACCATGCTCTTTGGCATTGGGTTAAAGAAAAGTTAAAAACCAGAAATAATATCAAATGTCCATCTTACCAAGGTAACAAAAGGAAAACTATTCCTGATAATGAACAGACGAGAGTTAGCGTTCTCCAGTCACTCATAGTGGAAGCCAGCCATGAATAGATACCAATCCCTATAGCAAAGACCATGGCTACACACATCCCACAAAAGCTGCGCCAACTGGTTCCAATTAATTCTTGAGAAAGTACGAAACTCACAAGTATCACCAGGGCACAGCATACTCCTCCTAAAAATCTAGAAAAAAAAAAAAAAAATCCATAAGATTCAATTTCACTCATATAATGTATACACAGAAATCATAACTCAATAAACAACCAAACAATCATATAACAGCACAAAAGTAGAATACAAAAACTACAAGCACATAAAACAACCAAAATCATACCGTAGACCTATCATTATCATTAACGTTGGAGCAAAGGCACTGAAACCTTCAAAAGCAATGGTTCCCAGGATGGACACCATGAGGGTCTTGAGTCTCCCAATGACATCAGCTACACTGCCGAGTACCAGTGCACCAGTCATGACTCCTCCCATCCATACTGACTGAACCAGCGCTACTTTGTACTTTTCACCGCATATCAGGTTCCACTAGGAAGGGGAAATTCAAATTAGCAGTCAAGTTTCTTGGTCTTATTTTTTAATATTCTCTTTAATATGCAAGCATGAATGAGAATGAGAGAGAGAGAGAGAGTTAGAGAGAGAGAGAGAGAGTTAGAGAGAGAGAGAGAGAGTTAGAGAGAGAGAGAGAGAGTTAGAGAGAGAGAGAGAGAGTGAGAGAGAGAGAGAGAGAGTTAGAGAGAGAGAGAGAGAGTTAGAGAGAGAGAGAGAGAGTTAGAGAGAGAGAGAGAGTTAGAGAGAGAGAGAGAGAGTTAGAGAGAGAGAGAGAGAGAGAGAGAGAGAGAGAGAGAGAGAGAGAGAGAGAGAGAGAGAGAGAGAGAGAGAGAGAGAGAGAGAGAGAGAGAGAGAGAGAGAGAGAGAGAGAGGGAGAGAGAGAGGGGGAGAGAGAGGGAGAGAGAGAGGGAGAGAGAAAGAGTTAGAGAGAGAGAGAGAGAGAGAGAGAGAGTTAGAGAGAGAGAGAGAGAGTTAGAGAGAGAGAGAGAGAGAGTTAGAGAGAGAGAGAGAGAGAGAGAGTTAGAGAGAGAGAGAGAGTTAGAGAGAGAGAGAGAGAGTTAGAGAGAGAGAGAGAGAGAGTTAGAGAGAGAGAGAGTTAGAGAGAGAGAGAGAGTTAGAGAGAGAGAGAGAGAGAGAGAGAGAGAGAGAGAGAGAGAGAGAGAGAGAGAGAGAGAGAGAGAGAGAGAGAGAGAGAGAGAGAGAGAGAGAGAGAGACAGAGAGAGAGAGACAGAGACAGAGACAGAGAGAGACAGAGAGAGAGAGATAGACAGAGAGAGAGAGACAAGAGACAGAAATCCATTATGATAGTAAACAAAATCAGTAGGCAACTGCCTGTTCTGTGCAATGCGACCAACTGGTATTTAGTCAACAAAATAACAAAACATACATGACAATATAACTCATTTTGTATGAAAATGTTGAACACAAATTAAATATAAAGACTACTATTTTTTAAATAAATTGTAAAAGTAATTATATTTATAATAGAAATAACTTTTCTTTTTAAAAACCTGTTTTTAACGTATCACATATCACTGTTCCTAACATTCTGAAAACACACACCATCCACTTGCACCTACCCAGCCTCTTAGATTTGGATACTATTCAAATTTGCATAGTTTTTGCCAATCCCACAAGGTAATTTTTGCATTTCCATTTCTTTTTTTATATAAATATATAAACCTGCATACAGTCTCATTTGAATGTGATGATTTTACATCAAGACCCTCTGAACTGACCCACAACGTGTATGATCACTGGAGAGTCATATTGCAAAGATATCAATTATTTTTATGCATCTAACAGCCTCTTCAAAACACCTGACAACCAATTACCTCTTTTTGTGTTGATGGTGTGAGCAGTATTGGCATAGGGAAGTTTTTGTTTCCTCTCACAGTAGGGGAAAGTCAGCAACATTTCCACACACAGCATGTTATCATTCATAAACATCAGCCAATAGTAATAAATCACAGCAAATGAAGAACTGGTTGGGCAACTGTTACTTGCCTAGCACTATGGCCACTCAGATAGAGTAAGAGCAACTTGTGCACTTTCAACCCAGGATGTCCAGGATACTAGAGGAGACTGTATACATTCATTTCTGATTCTGAGTCACTAATTTCATCAATGGAATATCTTAATAAAAGTATGTATACTATACATCACATGAACTGTTATTAATGCACTTAATCTGGCAAAATGATTTCCTGTTTTTCCATTTTTCTTTGCAAATCATTACTATTTACCTGTATATCACATTTACATGTATACCTACAGCATGCCTATAGATAATCAAGCTATCATTTACATACCTCTGACACAAAAATATCATTTACATACCTCTGATGCAAAAGATTTGTACTCAGATGTGTAGGATATTCTGCACTCTTGCGGGTCATTGTTAATGCACTTATTAATGAGAGGCTCCGCAGCACTACTTGCATTTTTTTCATAGCATTTAAAAGTTGGATCTAAACCTGTGAATATAATTTTCATTAAGTTAAAAGAAATTACAAAGACAAAATCCAAATTCTCAAAACAGGGAAGACACTGTCTTATTAATATATCACTGTTTTCAAAGACAAATAAAAAAGTATAGGTACAAATCACACAATACATTTACAGCATTCTACATAAACTATGAGACATGTGCACACTATGCCTTCTAAGAATGTTTACAGGTTAGGAAGCACAAATATACATGCTACATAAATAATGATTGTTTTGTATTCAGCAAAAGCAACTGCTATTTACATGCACATCTCTGCACAACTATAAACATAAGCCTAATGTTATGTACAACTTCAAACATAAAATAAAACTTTCCTGAGGATTTTACAACTTCGACAAAAATGCATGTTAGTAGCTAAACATTTTCAACTCCTCAAAAATTGGTACATGCATTATTTTACCTTTGTTATAATCATCTCTCCAAATGCTGTTTTACTGTAAGATACTCGTGCTACTGTAAATATCAAATGTTTAATTGACGATATGAATAGGACAGTCCTATTCTCTGAGCAGTGCAAGGCACAGCTACAATAATCATT